GATACTTCTCTTAACTGGTGAATTTAAATTAATTATCTTCTGAATGATCAATAGAAACTAAATATTTTTAATTTAAGCTTCATTTGTCCACGTTAAATAATATCGTATCACTGGCTGCCATAAAAGAATAAGAAAGTAGTAATGTAAAAGAAAAAAAAGATGGGATATAGAGTACAATATGCGGCAGGTTTTTTTGGAACCGGTGGAGTAAAATCCTAGTACAAAAATAACTCAAAAGATTTATTAAGAAATTTAACAACCTGACATATTGAGAAATTCTTTCTCTGGAATTCGTGAGCCAAAATTCTGAATTTAAATAAGTAATAGGAACACACGAGCATGACGTTATTTTAAGAGCCCGAGTTCCTGGAATTGAGTAAGAATTTCAGAAAACTTAAAGTAACAACCTATCATAGTACCTTACCAGATACGCTAATCGAACCATTCCATAATAAGTACAAGAAGTATTTGTACCAGAAGTGTCAGTACTGTAAATTATTTGAAATGTTAAGTAATTTTCAAAAAAATAATAAAATTGGATTTTTATATTGAAATAAATCATATTCGTTACCTGGATTCACACTTAAAATGTATCGGTTATTCACTTTTAACTGTACTAATTTGAATTTTACTATTGTAAGCGTATTATTTTTTTTTAAATACGATTTTGTTTTTTCTGTTTTACTTACAATATTGATGGCAATTTCCTTCTCCCATATAGCGTCATTTAAGATACCAGCGTTGTTAATGAGAATATCCAGGTTTTTAAATACTTCGACTGTTTTCTTGAAAGCCTCTGGAAATAAAATGTATGTTATATGTGGTTCATCTATTAAAAACATTTGTTTGCAGTTTTTAAACTTCTCGTTAAAAAGACGAAAGTGAAGAATGGTTTTTGTTTCAACAATTTAAATTTCAAAAAAAGGTAATTATTTTATAAATATGTAATTAATATTTACCATTGTGGTGACCGAATTTAAATCAAAGTTTTCGCGCTGAAATTATTAACAGCGGCGCGAAATCACACTTGAATAATTTGAATTTGAAAGAAAAAAAAATTCAATCACAGAAAAGGAAATCGGTAAACATAGGCAACCTGGTGCACGGAAATGCTTGTTTGGTAATCGGACGATTTAGCGCTAGGGGTTTTTAGTTACAGGGTTGGTTGATTGGTAGAGACAGGGTAGCATGGCGTAGCGTCATTCTGAATGTGCTTATGTGAGTGTAACCACGTGGTAAAAGCTAGGTTTAAATTAGTTGGTTTGGTAGTTAATAAAATGGGAGGAAGCCTTTGTTTAACGACAATCAATCGTAGCCAACGTCACTCAGGTGTGCCCAACCCGCGCGGTTAATTCTTGCGGCCTTTTAATCGGAAAAATGCGGAATTCTTCAACGCGAAATACGTGCTGTAAATTTGTTTCATTGTTTGTAAATTCACCAATCAAGTTAGTTTTTCTTAATCGTCAGCTAGTGCAAACACAATTTAACAATCAGGAAAACACCTTATTGTTTCATTAGGAATAGGTTTCTGGATGCATATACGTAAGTGTTACATTATAACACTTCTTAATTCTTCACACAAGATTGCTAATAGTTCATTTACGGCAGTTAAACAAGTTCATTATACTGAGAACTGGCGGGGGTTATGATAATTTCTTCCCTTAGGTGGTTATCATCGTTATCATGACTAACTCACCGAGGCATGCTCTCACAACGCTACAGAATGATTAATTCATCGAGGCCTGCCCTCACAACGCTACAGATTGATTAATTAATCGAGGCATGCCCTCACAATGCTACAGATTGATTACTTCATCGAGGTCCGTCCTCGCGACGCTAGAGATTAACAGCATCACCGAGACGCTTTTTCCTCGCAACGATTTTAAAATTTACAACACCGAGACGCTTTTTACCTCGGAGCGATGATTGGATATTTTTGTATTGTTTATTATGTGTTTTGTTGGGGTAACCAGTTCGCGGTATTTTAAACTCTCAAAGTAAATTGTTTTTTTGAAGTAACCAATCACTTAGGTCCTGATATAATTTGACATAATGTAAACTCTTTGTTTGAATCATTGAAAAAGTGTGGCAATTATTAATCACATGTAAATTTTGTTAACTCTGCAAATTTTCACCTCATACAATATTTCTTTAAGCTCACAATTTTAACTTCAGTAATTTTCCTTTGTTGTATAATTTTAATTGAACGTAAATTTCATGCTCCACAGTTTTAACCTCACATAATATTTCTATTTGTACAAGTTTATTTCACAGCAGATCTTTTGTTTCATAAATCCTTGCTAGGTTTGTTTTGTAAATACTTTGTTGATGAATGTTTCTATCATAAATTGTTTGATGTCCAATTTTTATCTCACATAAGATTTATTTGTTGTTTAAAATTTCACAAGATTGTATGGCGAATTTAAATGTTGTTTACTGCTCTTTGAAACTTTAACACTTGTTCAGTTGTTGTTAACATCAGAGTTATAAGAGATTGAATATTTAAAAATGGAATTGAGGTTAAATGACACAGAAAACGTGGCAGGAGCGCGGTTCGGTTCCTAGTCGAGCTGGCGAGATCTATTGTGTCACCTGTACAAGTCCACAGGTTTGGATAGATTCAGGGGCGGCCGCCGATGTTGTAGTGCTCTCGACTTGGACCAATAGTCGAGATCCACTTACGGGTCTGGCGACCGTAATGGCCTAGTTTCGCGGCACGTTCGTAATGGAAATATGCGTGCGGATAGGCTTTTTGATAGAACCACCGTCGTGGGGGGAGAACAGCCCCAGACCGGTAGCCCCAAACTCCGATTATGCTACAACGCCCCAGGGGTACTTTTGTTGTGCTCCTGTTAACTGCCGTAACCTTAAAATCTGCCGCCACATGCCCGTAACAACTTGTGTATTTGCATCAGTTATTGCTTTGTTATATTAAATTTGTGATATTCAAATATTTATTTGCATTGACTCCAAACAGATGGATAGAATTTTGCGTTTGTTCGTTTTTCATATGTGTATGTTTGTCAATTCGCGAGTGTCCTTTTTTCATATATCTTAAGGTGTTTGAAATATAATATGTCCGTGAATAATAACAAGGGGGTTTTGGCGCTGAGGAGTAAATCTTCGCAGCTCTTTCCTCCTGCGAGGGGGTGCCGTGCTCCCCCTCCAAAACAATTTTGTCTATTATTTCTTGCGCTCTCGAATCACATGCAGTAAATGCACACTTGTATGAAAGAACGTCTTCCCGCCATTTTTCAAAATCCAAAAAAAAAAACACACACAACGTAGGTTCCCATTTATTAGATGATCACAGCCAAGGCCAAATGCTGAATTTTTGAATTTTTTGCGGGTCTTTCAAACTTTTTCAAGGTCAATTTAAAGGCGTGAAGATTGGGTTATCACACCATACTGAGTGAATTTGAGCTTATTAGCCGTACGACTTTGTACTATACTATAACTTAGTGCTACAAAACCGATGGTTACATCAAAATCCGTCTAGAAATAAAACCTGTTAGTTTGAAAGAAAATCAAAATTTGTGTAGGCGCATTGTTTGATTTTGCTACCGTTTTATGTAATGGAAACCCTAGTGGAACATATCTATGTTGTGGTGTATCGATTTGAAAAATTAAATTTAGCGCCTAGGAAAAAATAAAGCCGCGAAACCACATTAAAAAAAAATATAGTCCAGTAACATAAAAAATCATCCCTAGGTAGTTCTAGGGAATCTTGTAAGACAAGGCAGGTCATCCCCTTCCTGTTTTGGTGCGTTATGTTTTGCTTTGGAATTGTGAGGGTAAACACGTGTTAAAATTAAGAGTACTGATAATTAAAAACTGCTTATTTCATGGCTTTTCCCTATCCAGAATTGAGGAATAAACAATTTGCCCTCCAAATTTTGCATTTTGATTTAAGGACACTTTTTCAATCTTGGTGTTCACCACTTTGCTTTTGAACGCATTCCGCCATAAAAGCACACAATGTGAAACGTTATATAAAAAATGAAAAGTAAAGTCAGTAAAATTAAAAAAAAAGTAGTAGTAGTGCTACAACAGTGCTTCAATCAAATTACCAAATAGATTGCAAGATTTTGAACCACATTGCCCACCTAACTGGATTGGACAGGTACAACCCGGGCCTACTATAATTCTGTCAATAAAACTTGTTACGCGGCAAATGTGTTTTTCATTCAGGCAGATCTTAATTAGAACAAATTTGGTGTAGTGTAGCTATTTTGTCTTTATTGAAAGTAATACATAACTACTGAGTTCCAAAAAATTTCTCAAATTTTTCCATGTTCGACAAGTGGCATGTTTTAACATAGTTGATTATTCTATTTAGGCAAGAGGTCATTTGATTGGGGTTAGTCGAACAGAGCGATGCAATAAGTGATAAAGTTAAATATACATATGTACGTTAGTATTAATAAATATTTGTTGATTTATCGATAATAAATAAACTACACTTCAACAGAAAAAATAAATATCACCCACTTTTAATATGGCAATTAAAAATTTTGACGAAATTAATTTTTGGAACCTCGTTTTTAAAGATCTGAGAATTTTAAATACTAAAGATCGTATATATTTAAAAACAGTCAGTATTGCAGTACAAAACTCACCCTCGAAGCTCTGCTTGTTTGTGACATCTGTGTTTACAAAAACTGCTTTATTAGATCCAAACTCCTTTTCGATTTCTTTTAATGCCTGGTTTCCAAAATCGGTGTTCACATCAGCTAAAGTAACTCCCTAAAATAATTTTTTGCTATCAGTTCTTTTTTCTGCATTTGTGTCAGACTTTACCTTCAACCCATTGCGTAATAATTCCTTTGCATATTTAAGTCCAATTCCTGAAGCACCTCCGGAAATTAAAGCCACCTTACCTTCGATATTGAAAGCCATTAGAACAACTAATATCTGAAAAGTCGCTACAAAAAAAGAACAACGTTTCGTTTTTAGTTCTGATTACCAATTATTATTTGACGAAAACAACTCACTTAAACCTTATCTAAGTATTTGTAGTTTCTGATAATGGGTGCATTCATATAATTCATAAATAATAATCGATGACTTTTTTGTCGAACAAATACTGTTCATAGTTACACATATATTATCTATTTTACTACTTAATTACACTGTTAAATTCACATTGAGGAATCTAAATTTATTACCTATTTTTTAACAACTTGCAAAGAAACTTCGAGGGTCAAACTGCAATCTCTCTTAACAATCTAATCTCTTATATGGCGTACATGTACATGAGTCGACAAAACTATCACGTTTACTTTTTTGTTAAGATAAAAATAGTTTTTATTTTGTAGTACAAATACTTACATATAAAACAAAACTTTCCGTCAAGGTGGGAATATATTTAGCGTACTATTAAAGAATAAACTGTGCTTTGATATAGAATAATCGCAATACAAGTAATTTAGATAACAAATATACCATTACAATTGCCACTGAAAAACAAGACTTGTGGGCTTTGAATTTTAAATTCAACTACGAACTCTTTTAAACTTATAAAGTTATAATGTTGATACACATACTGAAATGAAAAACCGGTGATTTTGCAGTTTTTATTTTGCGAGAATCTCTATACCCGCAGGGTCGCAGGACTACAGATTCCAAGGTCCGCACAAGTGCAAGCAATATTAAATATATTTAAAGCAGATAATCAATCAGAAAAATGTATTCTCATTACATGCTTAACTTCGACTGTTTGTGTATATTTCGAAAGAATTCCGCTATTAGGACGTTCAGATAACAAGCATCAGCGCGGCATGCATTTGTGTTATAAGAAAATGAAATTTGATTGACTTTGTCTTCACAAAACAGAGAAGAGGATTAATCACTTAATTAATTAAGCTACAATGGAGCAAAACAGTCCAAATATTATTTTGGATGAGTAGCTGCTATGATAATTATTATTTTATTATTGTTAAATATAGGTGGGCGGAATATTACTGTGTTCTTACATTCTCAATAAAATACGGTGAAGAAATAATAGAAGCTGTGGAGGGGTGGTTTGTATAGCAAGAAGGAAACTGATCGATGGAATAAGTAATTTTGGTTGAAAATGGGTGCATTTTTTGTGTGCACCGCATTTTCTAAGTCGGCTTGTGAGTGGAAGGTACGTATATTACACATGTTATCGTTATTTTTAACTCGGTGGCGATGTATAGGGTAAAAGATACGTTGAATTCAAAACTAAATTATGAACTGCTGTTATAAATTAAAAAAATGTCACTAAACCAAAACTAAAACCATCATGAATGCTTATTAATTTTATTATTTTCTTTTTCATCAAATCTAAATGTTTTTTCCTTTTTACACACAACAAGATAATGTCATCATTAGGCTAACTTAAAGTAACTCCTTAGATTTTAAGTCTAAATATGCGGCGATCAACGTAATTTCTATCGAGTTATCCTTGGAACTGAATCCGTATATTTTCTCGGATGTCATATGTTTAATGCTGTATCAAAAGAAATTTTAATTGTCAATAATTTTGTAAACCTAATATTTTCACACTTATTTTATAATCTTATTAGAAATATCAGCCATTTTTGCTTTTATATTTGTCATTTTTTGATATTTGTCTGTGGGATTTAAGTACCAACATGATAAATCCTTCCCAACTATGATTCCATTACAAATTATGTTGATTGCCTGATGGAAAACTATCGACTACATTTTTTTTTATTACAAATATTTTTTTTTGTTTATATGCAAATTGTAACTGACGTACTTACCTTAACATGCATGTTCTAATCTGCACATAGTACTATTCAAACAAATAATCAAACTCGATCACCAATCCCCGAACGTAAGAACAAAATTCGCATATTCGCAAATTGCAAATATCATTGCGCTTGTCAGACATTGCGAACAACACGCGCAGAACCTTACACCCATAAAAATCGCTAATCGCAATTATTTTCATTCGAATTCGTACCCAAACTAAAGTAGCAGTAAGCGAAACTATGAAGCAAGTTCAAAAAAACCGACGATTTATGACACAGTAGTCGCATAAAAACGTCAGAAACGAAACTCTATGCAAACAAAAGTAAACCTTAAAAAACAGCGAAATAAAACCCAACGTCACGTTCCGTGTAACATATAAATTACAAAGATTTATGGCTCACTAACGTCGCGGGAGACAAGATAAATGGGTAAAAATCCCTATAAAAGCAGTAGCGCAGGAAGTGATAATTCAAGTTCCGAGTTGCGGTGGGACACTCTGTCCGTTTCCGTACGGAGTTTTTTTTACTATTTTTGGCTGAATTTTGAAGAAATCCGAACTTAGAAAAATTTGCAGAAACCGAGATGAAGATAGAAAAATCTCTATGCTGCATCTGTGTACGTCTGCCTTTCAGTCATACTTAACTTATCTCGCTCTCCTTCTGCCATAATGAGTTCTCGATTTCGGCCGTACCTATTAAGCGTTTAATTTATGCGTTTTTGTCGGGGGTTTTCGATACGTTTGTTGTGAACAGATAGCGCCGGGGCGACAGCAATTTTTAGCGTTAACAGATGTTCTCGTTTGCGGGTGGTACTCTTGGCCTTGCGTCAGCTTTTGATCGTCGGGAGGATTTTTTGATAATTTACCTATTGCTTTTTATGAAAATTAATCCAACGTTTGCTTAATTTGTGGACTCGACCTCTGCGTTCGCGACACGGATATTTTAGATAAGTTTTTGGGAAGTTTGCGAATAGAAACCAATTTAATCTGATTTTTTTGCAGTCGATAATTTTATTTTGAATTTTTTGCTGTCAATATGATCCCGTTTTCTGATTATTTTGCCGTAGTTTTGAGAAACCTCGCATTTCATTTTGATATAATATTCTCACTGTACTTTAGCGCATTTATGGTACTAATTTCTCAGCGTTTAGTTGTACTTAAAGACTGTGACTATTCATTTTTACTTTTATTTGACCATTTCGTAGCCGATGATTTTTCGTGAACAAGTGTTCGCGCTCGGCGTATTTAGCTAATTAAATAAAGTAAAATTTACTTATCTCTCTCGTGGCATGTTTAATTTCACAAGTTAGCGTATAGATTTAAGTGCATGCTTAAATTCGTTAATTTTAGTTCTTTTCTCAGTGGAAAATTTCTTTGAATTCCACTGAATTATTAGTTTTAATTGTTTTTTTTTTTGCTGTTTTAATAGTACTTAGTTAGGCAGTCCCAGTTTATTAAATACTTAAGTGCATTACTCGAATTCGTATCTAGCAGTTTTCGAAGTTTAGTTTTCACGCACGTATTATTATTATTGTTTAGAAGGTATCGCACATAATTAGGGATTTACTAGGGTAAATTTAAAGTTTTAATAGCATGATGATATTAGAGGATTTTTAGGATTAATTTTAAATAGTTTCGTGGTTTATGTTTGTAGATTTTAAGGGTTTCAATAATAGAACACAATTGCGTAGCGCTTTAAAGATAATTTTGCATGTTTTAGTTATGTAAGTTTAATCTCATGTTTTATTTTGCTATTATCCATTTACGGAATTACTCATTTATCCTTTTATTATGCTTGTAGTTTTATCTCTCAATATATGTATTAAAATGTTAGGAGCGTTTAATTATTACCTCTTCCCACACATGAAGTAATATCGTACCACTCTATCAAAGAATATAAAAATGAAAAACAAGTAATTTAAAACAAAACATAAGGGTACAATGGATGTGTCGAGAACCAAGCGCTGTGAGTCAAAATTTTGGATCTAAATAAAGGAATTATCCGAGTATGAAGTTCTTGAAGTTGTGGAGGAATTTGAGTAAACTGAGTGTAAAATTGTATAACGATTTATTATAGCATCCCACCAGACACCTTGGTAGAACCATTCCATAATAAGCACAAAAAAGTGAGTTGTGTTTAAAAAAAAACAAAAACTTCAAATCAATAATTTTTACTTCCCAAGGATAAGCGAAGGAAGTATTGTAATCGAATCCATTGGGCGACTTGGTACTGTCATGTTTCTCCACGTTTCATGACCCCAAGAGTTCGAAAAAAGGGGTCTCCCGTTTTCGGCTATCTCGTCTGTGTCGATTTTTATTTGACATATAATCTCCGAAACTACCAATTGTTTTCTCGAAATTTTAAGAATATAGTAGTGTCGCGCTCGCCTATATTTAATAACAATAAAATAATAAGTATCATATGTGACAACTGCCCCAAACTTATATTCAATTTGTTTTGCTCCATTGTAACTTAATTAATTAGTTTTCTCCTCTGTTTTGAAGAGACAAAATTAATTAAATTTCACTTTCGTTTAACGCAAATGCTTGTTGTCGGAACGCGCTAATAGTGAAATTCTTTTGAAGTGTAAACATAAACAATCGAAATTACGCATGCACTCACCCAGTGAGATATGGTCCGCACTCGTGCGGGGGCTAGGCCCCCTTGGAATTGGGGCCTCCACGGTGTAAGGGCTGTGGGAGTATTATTTATGCAACTGGTCACAATTTTATAGGGGTGATCACAAAACAAAATCGCAAAATCAAATGTTATAATTTTTAAAAGAAGCGGAATTTGTTTGAGTATGTACTTCAAAGGCGAGGGAAGTTTTGTCGAAATAAACTTAGGCCAATGTTTTGAAATAAAGTTACAGGTTGTTGTCGAAATATGCATTAATATGCATGTACTAAATGTCAACATAATAATTTATGAATATTTTTATTTTCGAAATTGCCCCACATGTATAAAATGTATGTTATAACTAGTATATTACATGCTACTGTGGTTTGAAACTTTCCCTGGGTGGTAGAATGAATTCGTAAGGATCTTCTTCACCTTCAGCTATCCACGCTGTTCCAGTTTTTGCATTTTTAATAATTTTTACCATTGCCGAAGCTACACTTTCAGGCCTGAAATAAATAAAAAGGAATAAAGATGTATTTATCTGCAGATACCGGGTATATTATTAAATATTAAATATACCGAGACTTTATAAAAGTACAGATATGTACTATATTTTATAACTTATTAATCACTCCCTCTGTCCCAAATTACTACTATAGGGACTAACATCTTACAACAGGCTTTTATTTAATATTGAACTTTCGTTAAATTGTATTTTCAGTTTATTCTTATTCATTTACTCCGTTGTTCTAAATCACATACAGGCAAGTAAAGCAACATTAACATGATGCTCTGAATTTCTGGGGTAAAACTAAGAAATGCTACTGAAACATGTGTACGACAATGAAAAAAAAAAAATACAAAAATGACTGTTCGGAATAGATTTTTCCAACTTTTTTTAATCTCACATCTGCATTTATTAAATTAATGTTGCAAGGACTGTCGTCCTTGATGCTAAACACCTTACGACCAGTACTTTTCGTTGAAACCTATTATCCTATAGCTAAAGATTACATGACGTTGCGCTTAATCTTCCCATTTATACTTACTTCATGAAGGAATTGGTGGATGCACAGACAAGTTTTTTCTATTAAATTAGGCTTTTTTTCTTGAAGTGACTTTATTTTCAGGGTAAAGTCAAACCAATAATTATTGTTAAGAAAATAAACACCTTCCAAGTTTTTTTTTTCATTAAAATATTGCATTTGACATACACCAACAACGTTTTAAACAAAACCTCTTCATCTTTAAAAATAAAGATAATAAATATTTAGCAAAATACAGAGTTGGGAAAATTAAGTTTACAGCTCTTGTAATAGGCCCGTTTTCTGATTTTATCATTGTCAGTACATATTTTTCATTAAATACTAGTAATTGGGATTTTGTAGAATGTTTTCGTTATTTTAAATGTACCGAATACTTTATTTAATCTTATTAAGTATAAATTCATGTAGTACTTACTTCTGTGATGCTAAACCATCGAGTTGTGCGTGTATAAGTTGTTGATATGGAGCTCCTAAAGTTTTTTCAGATAGTTCAGATACTAGTGGAGTTTCTGTTACTCCTGGACACATTGCTAGTACTCTTACTTTAGTTCGGTTGTAATGTTCTATTTCACCCCACGCTTTACTCATTCCCAGTACTGCAAACTTTGTTGCGGTGTAAATTGGAATCGTGCCAAAGTTTTTAACACCAGCAACGGACGATATATTTACAATAACACCTTCACTGCCAGTTTTGTATTTGGGTATGTAGTTTTCTAAGCCAAGAAGAACGCCGTGTATCACCCCATTCTAGAAAAAAGAAACTGTCACAGCATCTAATAAATCCACTTTTATTACAGATTAATACATATTTCAACACTTGAAGGGATACTTCTCTTAACTGATGGTTTACAGCAGTCTTATTTTTAAATTTATTATTTTCAGAATTATCAAGAGAAACTAAATATTTTTAATTTAAGCTTCAATTGTCCACGTTAAATAATATCGTTTCGCTGACTACCATAAAAGAATAGCAAAATAAGAAAGTAGTAATGTAAAAGAAAAAAAAATATATACAGGGTGATTTTTTTAACCTGAAACTTTCCAATATCTCGAAAAATAAGCACTCTACAAAAAATGTCCAGATTCAAAATTTAATAATTCTGCAGTAAAAATACCACATTTTCATTATAAATAACCAAAAATGAGTCGCTACATTACTGAAGGCAATTTGAATGGTGAAATTTACCGAGACATTTTGGAAAATGAACTGCCAGCATTACTAAAAAACTTGAGGTTAGAAGTGCGACAAAACATGTGATTTCAACATGATGGTTGTCCAACACACTAGTCGATGGTTTCGATGGTAGCACGTGAAGTACTTGATGCTTTCAATGGTCACTGGATCGGTAGAGCGGGCCCGGTAAATTGGCCTGCTAGATTACCAGATCTTAGTTCGCTAGAGTTCTTTTTGACAAGGAATTTCGAGTATTTACATAAAACGTGGAATTTTTCTTGCCAAAGTGTTACCGAATCATAGTAGGACAAATCGGAAAAATTTTAATTTCGTCTATTCAGCGCCATCTATCACGAATCGAAAAAAATGTTTCAGACAAATCATACGTACTTTTAGCCATGGTCTCCCAATCTGCAATTAAAAATAGCAGTTCTCATTTAAGGTTTCGAAGTTAACCCTTGCCCCACCTACAAGGAGAAGGGGAAGGGGCTAATTTTAGCACTAATGTATTTCCTCTGCGGCTTGATTAAATTTTGATTCTGGACATTTTTTCACAGAGTGTTTATTTTCCGAGATATTTCAAAGTTTCAGGTTTTCAAAAAATTAATAAAATTGGTATTTTTATATTGAAATAAATCATATTCGTTACCTGTTTACACTTAAAATGTATCGGTTATTCACTTTTAACCGTACTAATTTGAATTTTACTATTGTATTTTTTTAAAATACGTTTTTTTTTCTGTTTTACTTACAATATTGATGGCAATTTCTTTCTCCCATATAGCGTCATTTAAGATACCAGCGTTGTTAATGAGAATATCCAGGTTTTTAAATACTTCGATTGTTTTCTTGAAAGCCTCTGGAAATAAAAACTATGTTATAATTCATCTACCAAAAACACTACTTTCTGAATAAATTTAAAAACATTTTTTTAGTACAAGTACCAATGAAACAATCAGTTACAGTTTTTAAACTTCTCGTTAAAAAGTGACGCAAGTGAAGAATGGTTTTTGTTTCAACAATTTATATTTCGAAAAATATAATTATTTTATAAATATGTAATTAATATTTACTATATTGAGAGGATTTGAGCTTATTAGCCGTACGACTTTGTACTATACTATAACTTAGTGCTACAAAACCGATGGTTACATCAAAATCCGTCTAGAAATAAAACCTATTAGTTTGAAAGAAAATCAAAATTTGTGTAGGCGCATTGTTTGATTTTGTTACCGTTGTAAGTAATGGAAACCCTAGTGGATTCTATAGTCTATATTGTGGTGTCCTGATTTGAAAATTTAAATTTCGTGCCTAGAAAAAAGCAACACCTCTAAACTGCATTTTAAAAATAAAAAAGATATATTAGTAACGTAGGCATTCGCCCATGTTTTGGTATGTTTGGCGTTATAGCAAAAAAATTATCCCTAGGGTGGCAGTTCTAGCGAATTTTGTAAAACAGAGCAAGTCATTCCCTTTCTGTTTTGGTGCGATATGTCTTTTTTTTTGTGTTGTGAGGCTAAACACGTGTTAAAATTAAGAGTTCCCATCAGCGAGTGTAATTATTGTAATATTAGTTAATTAGCGATTTTCAATTTCGAAATGTTGTTAAATTTCTAATAATTCATTGACTGTATTTAAATTAATCTGAAACCTCAACCCATTTTGAGGTAAAGGAACTTGAAAATTATAATCAGCTAAAAAGTATTATCATCGTGGACTCAAAAACGAGAGGGCTTCAATATTTTCTTACAGGTTTAAATTTCAAAATTTCAACATTTATTCTCGAATTATTGATGCCTGTTTGTTTATTTCATATGTGCTTTGTATGTGATACGGGGTTTTATTCCGGTCCATAAGGACGTAACCTGTGATCTTGTGAACATATTTTTGATTTAAATAATAACTTAAATTAACAACAACAAATTACCAAATGGGTTGCAAGATTTTGAACCATATTGCCCACCTAACTATAATTCTGTTAATAAAACTGTTACTCCGCAAATGCATTTTGCACTCGGGGAGAACTTTCATTACGACAAATTTGGTGTAGCGTCACTATTTTGCCTTTATTTGTCAAAATTTCTCATGTTCGATAAATGGCATGTATTTTAACAAAGTTGATTACTTTACTGAGACAAAAGGTCATTTAATTGAGGTTAGTCGAACAGAACGATACCATAAGTGATAAAGTCAAATTAGATATAGTATTTAGTAAACATTTGTTGTTTTATCCATAATAATTAAACTACAAAAAAATATCACCCACTTTTAATACTTTTAATATGAAAATTAATAATTTTGAAAACAAAATTAATTTTTGGAACTCCGTTTTTGAAGATCTGAGAGTTTTACGTACCAAAGATCCTACATATTTAAATACAGTCAGTATCTATTCGTATTAAACTTTATAATTTTGAATATTGTTTTGGAAATTGTCTTGTATCACATAAAAACAACAAGCAAAAAAAAAAACGGGAAAATGCGTCAGTATTGCAGTACAAAACTCACCCTCGAAGCTCTGCTTGTTTGTGACATCTGCGTGTACAAAAACTGCTTTATTAGATCCAAACTCCTTTTCTATTTCTTTTAATGCCTGGTTTCCAAAATTGGTGTTCACGTCGGCTAAAGTAACTCCCTAAAATAAATTTTTGCTATGAGTTTTTTTTTCTGATTTTGTTTCAGATTTTACCTTCAACCCATTGCGCAATAATTCCTTTGCATATTTAAGTCCAATTCCTGAAGCACCCCCGGAAATTAAAGCTACCTTACCTTCGATATTGAAAGCCATTAGAACAGCTAATATGTGAAAAGTCGCTACAAAAAAGAACAACGTTTCGTTCTTAGTTCCATTGATTAAATACATATAGATAGACCCATGCTATTGTCTGGAGCGAACAGGCCAACGGCCGGCGAACAAGAGATGGCGCACCAACAGTCGGCCGTCAAACGCCGGCGAAAAGCTTGGACACCAATCGCGCGCGTAGATAACCCAAATCACAGCAACAATACATTTAATAAAGCTACCACTCGACAGAGGGCGACGAAAACAATGTGTAAAAATCTCTTCATAACCATTTATATAATTTACAACGTTGCCAGATGAGCCTAGCACAACTTTGCCGTTATTTCTAGTCGATTAGATTTTATTTCGTTTAAAAGTTTCTGGTGAATAAATGGAATTATTATAATGAATAAACAATACAAACAAATTATTACTTGTTATTTTAAATACTTGTTAGTGTTGATGAAAACATAAATGGTAATTAAAGTTATTCTAAATACGGTCCGGTCCGGTAGCTCAAATTTTACAGTACGAGTGATATGTTTCAGGACGAGTAGGTAGCCGAGTCTTTAATTTCGAAACGAGTACTGCGAAAAGAGTTACCGGACGTATGTTGTTATCTATTTTATTTCATACTGTCAACATACTTTTTTATTCGATAAAATTATTATTATTTTGAGAAAAAATCCAAATCGAGTCACTTTTTCTGACATCGTTAGCAACCGCTCTTTGGTAAATGTTTTAATTTGTTTATTCGTGCAAATCAGCATCATATGTTTAAACACATAGTACTTATAACACTTTACAGGACTTATTGTTTTGTATAATCCGACTCGATGGACGAATGTTTTGTGCAATCCGTCTCGAAGGACCAATGTTTGTGCAACTCGGCTCGTCCTACCAGTATTTTTTGTAATCTGGTTGATACGACAATGTGATACCGAATTGCACTTTGATATTGCTCCAAGGACCTTTGTTTTCTTGCGTGCGAGATAATAGACAGCGTTCGGTTTCGATGTTTAATACAGGACGGTTACAGAAGTACTAAATTTACATTTGTATTTACAATAACAGGTAAAGCAAAAGAGACCCAAAAGGGTCAGTGGCCGCTTCCGGAAATGGAAAACTTGTCCTTTTTGGCCACGGAGGTAGAAGAGTGTCTCTTCTACCTCCGTGTTTTTGGCTCAATTTTATCGGACTTGTCCGTTTTTTTGATTTTACCGGAATAGTTCGATCCAGTAAAACGTCAAACTTGACATAGTATGAAGTAAAATAAATAAATTTTATGATGTAAATACAATTAAGTGTATCGATAATTCGCTACTGAAAATTTATTGAAATATAATTTGTGTTAAAAAAAGATTTTTGTGGTTTTATGGTTTATTAAATGTAATTAAAATAAATAATATCAAGAACTTGTATTATATATCAAAAACATTCATTGTAAATAAGAAAATTATGTAAATAAACCATAAAACCATACAAAATTTTCCTGCGACCTCTATTCAAAATCCCAGTTTACCAATAGGAATTAAGGCACAAAGATGTTTCACTGAATTTAATACCGATTTTTCAAGAAAAGTATGCTTATAAGCCTATAAGCGTCTAATGGATTAAAACAACAAATAATAATCACAATTTATTTGTTTTATGTGTTCATTACAATAATCCCATTTATTTACCAGAAACTTCTAAATGAAATAATATCTGGTTGACGAGAAATATCCGCAAATTTGTGTTAGGCTCATCTGGCAACGTTTTCGGTAGGTAGGTATCAATGGAACTAAAAGATTTGGTAATTTTCTTGGAAGAGTTTGTTTCTTCAATGAAAATTTATGGTTTTTAATTCTTCGGCCGCTTGAAAGTCTCGCCATGTGAAAATAGATTATTTGATAACCTGTTTCGTAATAATTGTAAATACGAACAAAAGCATATTTGCATATTCTAAACAACTGGCCATATCGATTCCAAACTTGTACAGATATGTTTTTTATTGTTTCTGTTTTCAATGAAATAAATTTTATTTGCAAAATACTTAATGTCTAACGACATATCACGCATACATACTACCCCATTTACTATATTTTCAATCTGTGCATTTTTCGCTTCATTCGTAGGAGCCAAGTAAGAAGTATCAGTGAGACCGGCGGTCTTTCAAAAGCTCGTAAATGAAAAGATTTAGTAAAGTTTCCTAGAACAGTCTGTCTCTTCATAAAAAAATTTAGAGATTTTTACTATGAAATATTGGTACAATACGCTATATTCCACTGTTTGTTTTCTTTGAGATACGACTAGTTCTTGTGCCGAAGTGAAACACCAAAAAGTCTAAAGTCCGGAAATCAGAGTGAATTTTAAAACACATAAAACGACTTCTTTATTTATTTAAATATTGTCCTGTAACGTCCTGTGACGTGGAATGGAGTTTCTTAATGTACAAAAGTATGTTAGATAATAACCGAAAAATTTTCTTGATTAAAACTAAAGGAAACACAATTATTACTTGGAATAAAAATAAAGAATATCAAGAACTTGTGCTATGTATTAAAAATATTTAATTTCAAATAAGTAAATTATGTTAATAAACCATAAAACCACAAAAATCTTTTTTAACACAAATTATATTTCAATAAATTTTCAGTAGTGAATTATCGATATACTTAATTGTATTTACATCATAATAGTTATTTATTATATAAGCGGTTAAAGTGAATGTTTAATGAGCGGCCAGTTTAAGGCGAGAGCGGCGTATGCCGCGAGCGCCTTAAGACCACGAGTTACACATTCATTTTAACCGCGAGTGTAATACAAACTTTTATTCAATTTTGACAACCCCAAGTCCCAAATTGTGAAAAAATTGGTGATTCAAAGTTCACATTCGAGAAACGTCAGAATTGACAGCGACCAAATAAAAGTTTTATATGCGTAGAATTTAGGTTACAATATCAGCTGTGTGTGTGTAGTATGTGACTCTGGCGACGGTGTTTGTTTATTTTAAACAAACTAAAATTATCGAAAAATTGCAAAATCATGCAAGATTCCAACGGCAAAACTTGCTCCCAAAAAAGAGCAAATCAGAAAGTGTATCAAAAGTTCCTTAGATGGAAAGAGCAGCAAGACATTGGAGAAATTACAGAAATGGTAACCATGGTTTTAAAACAGCAAAATAAAAATTTTATTTCGCTAGCGGTTTAAAAATTTTATGGTGCTACCGGATAAACCAAAGCTTTAGTGGCCTACTGACGGCAAAATAAACGTTTGTTTACATGTCAAAATTGAATAAAATTTATTTATTTTACTTTATACTATGTCAAGTTTGACGTTTTACTGGATCGAACTATTCCGGTAAAATCAAAAAAACGGACAAGTCCGATAAAATTGAGCCAAAAAGGACAAGTGTTCCATTTCCGGAAGCGGCCACTGACCCTTTTGGGTCTCTTTTGCTTTACCTGTTATTGTAAATACAAATGTAAATTTAGTATTTCTGTAACCGTCCTGTATTAAACATCGAAACCGAACGCTGTCTATTATCTCGCACGCAATAAAACAAAAGTCATTGGAGCAATATCAAAGTACAATTCGGTATCACTTTGTCGTATCAACCAGATTACAAAAAATACTGGTAGGACGAGCCGAGTTGCACAAACATTGGTCCTTCGAGACGGATTGCACAAAACATTCGTCCATCGAGTCGGATTATACAAAACAATAAGTCCTGTAAAGTGTTATAAGTACTATGTGTTTAAACATATGATGCTGATTTGCACGAATAAACAAATTAAAACATTTACCAAAGAGCGGTTGCTAACGATGTCAGAAAAAGTGACTCGATTTGGATTTTTTCTCAAAATAATAATAATTTTATCGAATAAAAAAGTATGTTGACAGTATGAAATAAAATAGATAACAACATACGTCCGGTAACTCTTTTCGCAGTACTCGTTTCGAAATTAAAGACTCGGCTACCTACTCGTCCTGAAACATATCACTCGTACTGTAAAATTTGAGCTACCGGACCGGACCGTATTTAGAATAACTTTAATTACCATTTATGTTTTCATCAACACTAACAAGTATTTAAAATAACAAGTAATAATTTGTTTGTATTGTTTATTCATTATAATAATTCCATTTATTCACCAGAAACTTTTAAACGAAATAAAATCTATTCGACTAGAAATAACGGCAAAGTTGTGCTAGGCTCATCTGGCAACGTTGCAAATTATATAAATGGTTACTAAGAGATTTTTACACATTGTTTTCGTCGCCCTCTGTCGAGTGGTAGCTTTATTAAATGTATTGTTGCTGTGATTTGGGTTATCTACGCGCGCGATTGGTGTCCAAGCTTTTCGCCGGCGTTTGACGGCCGACTGTTGGTGCGCCATCTCTTGTTCGCCGGCCGTTGGCCTGTTCGCTCCAAACAATAGCATGGGTCTATCTATATGTATTTAATCAATGTTAGTTCTGATTACCAATTATTATTATTTGACGAAAACAAGGTTGGTGTTTAAACAGACACTGTAACTCACTTAAACCTTATCTAAGTATTATTTTGTTGTTTCTGATAATGGGTGCATTCATAATTCATAAATAATCGACGACTTTTGTGCCGAAGAAATACTGTTCACAGTTACACATATACGAGGGCCACTATATATATTTTCTACCTGACTATGAAACAAAAGATATACGATTTTGGTGATAATTTTATAATCATCCCCTATATCCACGCACTTGCGCCATTTACTCTCCAATGAATTTATGCCCTTGAAAAAAGAAAAAATTCTTCCTGATCGTCGAAAAAATGGTAAACTGCTTCTTTTAGGCACTCATCAGACTTAAAACGACGTCCGCGGAGGTATTTTTTTAACAATCTGAATAAACGCAGCTGGATCAGAACTATAGGGGGAATGATCCATTCCAACGAACCTGAATTCTTGCACAACGTGCTGAATTTTAGCTGCATAATGCACCGTCGCATTGTCGTGCAGCAGAAATACTTCTCTGTTGGTCAACATGGTCCGTTTCTCATTAATTACCTTACGCAAAATTTTAAGAGTGATGGCATAGTTGTATACTTTTATTGTTATGCCTTTAGGTATGTATTCAATAAGGATACCTCTAATGTCGCAAAAAAGGATTGCTATCAATTTTCCGGCAAATGATTCTGTCCGTGCCTTTTTTGGGAGTGGAGATCCTTTGTGAACCCATTGCTGTGATTCAGATTTATTTTAGGGTCCCAGTGGTGTACCCAATTCTCGTCATCGGTCACAATTTGGGACAATAAGTCGCAATTCTCTTCACTTTACTCATGTTCAAATTTTCATGCAATATGGTTATTACACTAGATTAGGACATTCCTAATGTCCTGCTAATTGTGTAAACCTTAAGACACCGATCCTCGAGGAACATAGGTTCAACTTTTTGAGTCATTTCTGCATCTGTTGCTGTTTTTGGTCTTCCGTTTCTGGGGTCATCTTCGATGGATTAACGTCTTTACCGAAACTGTGTTGACCAAAATTTTATTAGGTGATAAAACGGTGCATCATTTTCATAAACTGACACCGTCTTCTCACGAACTGTCTTTGACTGCTGGACTTCTTTTGTGAGAAACAGGCGGGAGTTCTATAGTTTTAAGTTGGTCATTTTTCTTTGTGTAACAACTTATAAAATCGAAATGAATAATCCAAATTAACTCAAATTTTCGGTGCAGGGGCAGAATAAATGGCACTATTTGACATATTAACGACAACGGTGGCACTGGTTTTTTTCATGGCTAGGTAGATAATATTTCTAGTTGCCCTCGTATTATCTACTAGGTACTTAATTACACTGTTAAATTTACGTTGAGGAATCTAAATTTATTACCTACTTTTTAACAAGTGACAAAGAAACTTCGAGGGTCAAATTAATTAATCTCTTATATGTACATGAATCGGCAAAACAAATATGTTTACTTATATTGTTAAGGTAAAAATAGTTTTTATTTTGCACTACAAATGCAGAGCAAAACTTTTCGTCAAGGTTTCAATATACAGGTGTCTCAGAAATAAGTACATTAATTTTAATCAGTTATAATATGGTTTTGTCAGGAACTGTTTAATTAACAACTTAAAAATTGTTAAAGTTTTATCCCAATTAAGGTTACCCGCCCATGGATCCTCAGTCACCCATGAACATTAATAATTATTATAATATTGTGGTCAAAAACAGTTGCTAAGGTACGTATTTTCCTAATTTTGTCACAATGACAAACATTTATGGAGAAATTGAAAATGCTGCTTCCTAATGGCGTTCGGAATTTCATCGGCCCAATGTGGGTGTTGATTACACCTTCCCTCGTGTATCCGGTCTCATCAGTTGATGGTATAAGAGATACAAAATTTGCTTGTTCGTTTTATATTAACCCACTCACAAACCTTTTGCCTACGTGGTACGTCTGTTGGTTTCAATAACTGAACTTTCTGCTCCTGAAAGGGGTACAGTTGTTCTCAGAGTATCCTCCAAATACTACTTCCCGATACATCGTACAATACAATCTAGTGATGCGTGCTAGTGCCCGGTCGAACTTCTACACTCTCCAAAACAGCTTCTTCTAAACTGCAAGTTTAAAATATCCGTACTCTCGAAAATACTGTAAAACGTTCTTAAAAGTACGGACATCTGGCAGACGATTGGGGAGTCCTCCTGAAATAATTCTTTGAGCGCAAGCACCGTTTCCCCAAGACTCACCGCAGGCTAAAACGATATCGGTATGTTCAAGATTTAAAAACAAAGCGATTTCAACACATTTCGTGTATAAATTAGAAATCTGTGCCAATTAATGTACTTATTTCTGAGACACCCTGTATTTAGCCTACTATCAAACAATAAACTGTGTTTTTACATAAAATATTCGCAATACAGGTAATTAAGATAACAAATACATTATTACATTTGCCATTGAAAAACAAGCCTTACATGCACTGAATTTAAAATTTAACAACGTAATTTTTTAAACTTATTATAAAGTTATTACGTTCCGGTTTTTATTGCTCTATGCACTTGGTAAAAAAGCAGCAACATAAATAATCAACGAGAAAAATGTATTCTCAGTACATGCTTATTAACTTCGACTGTTTCTGTATACTTCGAAAGAAGTCCACTATTAGATAACAAGCATCAGCGGAGGTACCTACTTATGCATTTGTATCATAAGAAAATTAATATGAAATTTGACTGATTTTGTCTTCTCAAAACAGAAGAGAGGACAAATATTGTTGGGTGATTAGTTGCTATGTCAATTTTTGTCTTTTTATTATTAAATACATGTGGCCGCGACTTTACTGCGTTCTTAACACTTTCGAGTAAATGAAGTGACGAAATAATATAAGCTGTGTAGAGCTGGTTTGTAGAGCAAGAAGAAAACTTTTGTTAAGAGATTCACAAAAATTGCAGGAACGATGGAATAAATAATTTTGGTAGTGTATTTAATTAATGTAATTTAACATTGTCTAAGTCGGCTTGTGAGTGGAAGGTACGTATATTACATATGTTACGGTTATTTTTAACTCGGTGGCGATGGATAGGGTAAAAGATACGTTGAATGCAAAACTAAATTATGAACTGCTGTTATAAATTAAAAAAATAATGTCACTAAACCAAAGCTAAATCCATTATGAATAATACGATGTTTATTAATTTTATTATTTTCTTTTTCATCAAATCTAAATGATTTTTCCTTTATACACACAACAAGATAACTTAAAGTAACCCCTTAGATTTTAAGTCTAAATATGCGGCGATTAACGTATTTCTATCGAGTTATCCTTGGAACTGAATCCGTATATTTTCTCGGATGTGATATGTTAATAATGCTCTATCAAAAGAAATTTTAATTGTCGATAATTTTGTAAATCTAATATTTGAATCAGACACACAAAAAGTCAAAAGCTAAAATCCTTAAACTGATTTTTAACTTCGATTTAAATTCTACGTCAATTTATTAACCAGTCTCGTTATGACTTTACCAAAAGCTACATGAAACATCCCTTCGAAAATCCTTTTTAGACTATAGAAAAATTACTAAAAATGACAGATTTTTATTAAACACAAGGATATTTCGTTTTTAGTTTACCAACATGCCAAATCCTTCCCGACTATGATTCGATTACAAATTATGTTGACTGCCTGATGGAAAACTAACGATTACATTTTTTTTTATTATAAATAAAAAAGAAATCGAGGTGACACAGTTCAGTAACTTACCTTATTTTTAAGATACCTATCCTGCTTTATAAACGACCACTTCTTATTACTAATAATTATTATTGTTAGAAGGTGAGTGCTTGCATTAAGTAATAATAACTGTGGTTACACTATACACTTTTAGTTTCATTTACATCATTAATTAAATTGTTAGAAATAATTTTTACTAAGTATTTTTAAATCTTCACAAACAATTCAGAACACGCTTTTATTCCAAAGGAATGCGAAGTTCGAGTTCCCATGTCACTCATAAATTAGTATTTTTTATATGCAAATTGCAACTGACGTACTTACTGAAATCCTTTTGCTATTGGTACGTATACAGGGTAATGAAAAAATGACGTAAAAGGTTGATCGTATGTTGCTAAAAAAGACGGCTTTGAAAAAGTAAAAAAAAAAAATGGTTAAAAAAATCTCGGAACTGAATTTTTGAAATATTAAATTTTAAATGTGAAGAATTAACTTCGTACCCAATTCTGATATGTGAATTTATTTAAATATCTAAAATTCCCATAAAAATGGTCAAAAATGACATCTGCCAACAGTAAAAAATTATTATCATTTATTTAACTGTCTATTAGACATGCAGTCCATTAAAACAACATTACGAAGTGAATTCATCAATTTTGAAGTTTAATATTTTAAAAAGTTTGGTACAGGAATTTTTTTAACCGAGTTCGCCAGAGCCTTTTAACAACGTACCATCCAGTTTAGATATTATAAAATAATATTTCCATTTATTTTTGTATTTATTTTGCAAAAAATATCAACTGAAAAAATGCATAAGCTGTTGGTAAGTTGTTTTTCAGTGCAGTTTATTGATTTTTAATGAAATTAAAGGTCACTGTTGAAATCTGGCTTACAGAATTGTCTTTACATAATAATAATCTATTCTTTCCAATTTTACCCATATGTATAAAAAGTATATTGCATATTACACGTTATTGTGGTTTAAAACTTTCCCTGGGGGTTAGAAGGAATTCATAAGGGTCTTCATCAGCTTCAGCTACCCACGCTGTTCCACTTTTTGCATTTTTAATAATTTTTACCATTGCCGATGCAACACTTTCAGGCCTGAAATAAATAAATAAAAATGAGTGAAGATGTAGACATATACTTATATTATCGTAGGCGTTGAGTGTATTCAATTTTCAACATCCCTAGATTAAATAATAATGTGGATATTCAATAGTTATAAAATACGCGATATGTACAAAGAATTCGTAAACGAATTACGTAATTCTCCACACAAAATAATATATCATATTATCGAAAAAAACGTCGTCCAGTCAACCAAGTAAAATATGAAATTTATGCGAATTTTAAGAACTGCTGAAATGCTAACTAAAATTTGTCTGATCAAACCCACCAACAATTTTGCTAAATTAATCTTAACATTTCACAATGTAACTTATTAAGAACTATATTTAGACAGGACATTAAAAAAGTATTTCATAATGTAACATATGTATACAGGCATTTTAGATAAAGACAAATGAAATGTATAACTAGTGTTTACACGGCCGTTTTTTGCTTTTTACTTCCCGAGCGTAAGCAAAGGAAGTATTGTAATCGAGTCCGTCGGCCGACTCTCTACTTTTACGTTTTCTCGATCTTTCATGACTCCTAGATCACGAAAAAATAGGTCTCCCATTTCCGTCTGTCTGTCCGTCCGTCTGTCCGTCCGTCTGTCCGTCCGTCTGTCCGTCCGTCTGTCCGTCCGTCTGTCGGTCTGCCGTCCCGGATTTTTATTAGACAGATAATCTCCGAAAGTACTGGACCGATTGTTGTGAAATTTTGTACTTATATTAGGAATATCATGTAGATGGTAAAACGCTAACCAAAATTTGTCTAATCATCCCCACCACTAATGCGATGACGTCACTTCAAAATTGTACATAGTGAATGGGTCTTAAATTGTATAAAATAACATAGTCCTACACATGTAGTTTACGACTCCGAATTCAGTTTTTACCCGAAACGTCCAGATTTTTGGAAAAAAAATCAAAATCATAAAACAACATTTTGCAATTTAATTTTTAATCTGCTAACCCGAATGTTTTAAAATGTTGCAGATGTTTTAAGGCTCTAAAGAGCATCATAAATCTTTAGTCAAAATATATTTGGTTATCCCCTCCAAAAACTTGATGACGTCAGCTCAAAAGTTTGCCGAATAAATCCTATCTAAAATGTACAAAATATGATGCGTCTGTACTTGTGATATATCACTCCATTCATATTTTTTGGATTTGCATATACAGGGTGACTCAAAAAAATTAATGAATGCGCAAAATTTATTTTACTGATTTACTCAGGAACTACAAAACCGAATGCTTTGAAATCTTGAAGATGTTTTAAAATTATCATAAGCATGGTAAATTTTTGATCAAAATGTATTTGGTCGTTCCCTCCTAAAAAATTTATGACGTCACCACAAAATTTTGCTGAATAAATCCTATCTAAAATGTACAAAATATGGTGAGTCTCTTGTTGTGATTTATCATTCCATTCAAATTTTTTCGATTTGCATATACAGGGTGACTCAAAAAAATTAATGAATGCGTCAATTTATTTTATTGATTTAATCAGGAATTACACAACCGAATGCTTTGAAATCTTGGAAATGTTTTAAAGTTATCATAAGCATGGTAAATTTTTTATCAAAATGTATTTGCTCATCCCAACTAAAAAATTGATGACGTCACCCCAAAATTTTGCTGAATAAATCCTGTCTAAAATGTACAAAATATGGTGAGTCGCTTCTTGTGATTTATCATTCCATTCAAATTTTTTCGATTTGCATATACAGGGTGACCGAAAAAAATTAATGAATGCGTCAATTTATTTTATTGATTTAATCAGGAATTACAGAACCGAATGCTTTGAAATCTTGGAGATGTTTTAAAGTTATCATAAGCATGGTAAATTTTTTATCAAAATGTATTTGCTCATCCCCCCTAAAAAATTGATGACGTCACCCCAAAATTTTGCTGAATAAATCCTATCTAAAATGTACAAAATATGATGAGTCTGTACTTGTGATTTATCATTCCATTCAAATTTTTTCGATTTGCATATACAGAGTGACTCAAAAAATTAATGAATGCGTGAATTTACTTTGTTGAGTTAATCAGGAACAACAAAACCGAATGCTTTGAAACATAGGAGATGTATTAAAGTTATCATAAGCACGTTAACTTTTTTATCAAAATGTATTTGCTAATCCCCCCTCAAAAAATTTGATGACGTCAGCTCGAAAGTTTGCCGAATAAATCCTATCTAAAGCGTAAAAATATGATGAGTCTGTACTTGTGATTTATCACTTCATTCATATTGTTTAGATTTTCTTAAGAGGTGGCTCAAAAAAATTAATGAAGTCAATTTATTTTATTGATTAAATTAAAGGCAACACTTATTATTAGTATTACATTGGACCAACCCAATTTGGTAGACACAAAATTTTTTAAAGTAAAAACTCGGTTGAAACATAAGGGTAGCACGATTATTTACATCGACTTTAACATTACAGACGTGCATTTGTTTTGTGCGCTGTCTAGGTTCCGCGAATGTGGAATAGACATGTTTATAATCAACCAATTGTGAATTCCACCGTCAAAAATTAAAATAAAACCCAATGTTTTATATAATAAGCGGAAGTCGAAGCAATAAAACCGATGGTCGTTTTGTTTACAGTTTCTCTGTTTGACTCTCACGTATGCTGTTACGCTTGTCATCTTAAATTAAGAATGCTTATACATAAACGATTTTCAGTTGCCTCTCACCGGCGCCGTATACGTGAGTAAATTGTTTCGTTATTTTATTGATTATAACAAATCAATATTCAAAACGACCCAATTCATTTTCCCGAAAATTTGGGAATACAATAATTTTATTCTTAGTCTTACACTACATCCATCCCAACTGATATACGTGTCCTTGCAAAAATGTTGATGACGTCATCGCAATTTTTTTTTAATTCCACACTACAAAAATGTAATGAGAAAAAAAAACACAATAGCCATGCAGTCGTCAAGTTTCTGACAGCGAGGGAAGTACTGTCTAAACTCTTTAGACCAATTTTTCCATTTACATTTTGATCATTAAATAGTTAAGATTTTGTAGAATTATTTCATTTGTTTTTAAATATATTGAATTTCTGTCTTATTATAAATAAGTGCAAATAGTACTTACTTCTGTGATGGTAAAGCAGTGATTTGTGACTCAAGAATCTGTTGATAAGGAGCCCCTAAGTTTCTACCAGACATTTCACTTATTAGTGGAGTGTCTGTAACTCCTGGACACATGGTTAGTACTCTTACTTTAGTTCGGTTGTAATGTTCTATATCGCCCCACGCTTTACTCATTCCCAGTACTGCAAACTTCGTTCCGGTGTAAATCGGAATCGTGCTAAATTCTATAATACCAGCTATGGAAGATATATTTACAATAACACCTTCATCGCCAGTTTTGTACTTGGGTATGTAGTTTTCTAAACCGAGAAGAACGCCATAAATCACTCCATTCTAGAAAAAAATAAACTGTCAAAGTATGGGATTATCTAATAAATGTGGACGATAAATGTCAGGCGTCAGACGAATTTCGCCTCTGGTATGGTTCACATACTGAGTTACCGTGCTCTTTTGTCTTATTCCTAATTTCTCAATCCTGCTCCTGAAGATGCCACTTACGAAAGTGTGCGAAACGTTGAGCCCAAAAACTCAACACGGTCCCAACCCGGAAAACGATCATATAAGAAGTAATTTAAAATAAAACATAGGGGGACATTGGATGTCTCGAGAACCAAGCGCTGTGAGTCAAAATTCTGGATCTAAATAAAGGGATCATGCTAGTATAAAGTTCTTGAGATCGTGGAGGAATTTGAGTAAACTGAGTGTAAAATTGTATCCCACCAGACATCTTATTGGAACCATTCCGTAATAAGCACAAAACAGTGAGTTGTGGTAGAGCTAATAAGTTTCAAAAAGAGAACAAAAAAAAAACCCGTATTTTTTACACGTATGGCACATTTTTAGGATTAAAATTTTACCGGTTATTAATTTTTTCTTATCATTTCTATGTGTAGTCATTTGAATGTTGTGAAAAGTGCTTTTTAGTGTGTCAACTCTTTTATAAGTGTGTCGTGACAGTTTATGCTACGACTTTGTTTTTGCTATTTTACTTACAACATTGATAGCAATTTCCTTCTCCCATACAGCGTCGTTTAATATGCCCGCATTGTTAATGAGAATGTCTAGGTTTTTGAACACTTCGATCGTCTTTTTGAAAGCCTCTGGAAATAAAAATACATATATGTAGTGTAAATTGTATAGTAAAAGAAAAAACATTTTTTTAATGAGTTTCAAAGATTTAGTTTTAGTTATTTATTAAAAGAACATGCCAAAGATAAGATATCTTTGGGTGTAATGATAGTGACAAACGTAAAACATCTCCATTAGATAAATTAGAAACGTAATTTTTCATCCGTGAGATTACCAACATGTACCTACGTATATGCGATGCTTTGCTGGCAACATAAGATCAGAGATCTTTTTTTACAAACAAATGATCTTTTTAATTTTAATATTTGCATTCAAATGTTGACAAAATACTAGACACTATTTCTGGGTGATAAAGTAATATATGTATATAAAAAGCGATTGTTTACTGGTTTAAAAATATATTTCAACAATTTGTCAGATATCACTTATAACATATACCGAGAAAGCAATAAAAAACACGATCAAATACAACCAAGGTTTTTGAAAGTTTGTCTTTGATCGTTCCATTTTTTCAATTTAAACAACGAAATTGACGATAATCTGACAAGACAAAATTCTATCGAGACAAATCTTCAAAAATCCATGGCTATCTTTGATCGTGTTTTTAACTTCTCTCAAGGTATAATTAGAAAAAATGGTGGATAAGAATAACTGCCAAAGTGAAAACGGTGTCTAGATTAGTTTATAAAATTCGTGTTTGCCTTTTAGGAAGTTTTGTTGGCGGAAAAAATATGGTTACTGCTTACATCAAAAACCTAATAGTGTTACTTTTGAAATCGAGCTGCTTAGTGTTGATAATTGGTATTTATGTTCTTGTGTGTCTGTTGTGGCCCATTTGAAATCATCAATTATAGGTTTATGTTTTCGTTACAAAGTTGAAAGTGCGGAGTTTGTTGTTCCACAGTTTGAATTTCACAAATACTAACAATTATTTGTTAATTAGGAAATGTTCATATTGAAATTAAATTACCAAAAAGGTTAAAAAAATACAGTTTTAAATAATAGAAATGATTTTTATAAATTTTGAAGGCAAAATAAAGCACAAAAAATATTCCAAATATACACCATCACTACTGAAAAAGAAAACCTTTTGTATTTTTGATGCATCTGTTTTGGTACTGAGGTATTTGCTTCTATTGATTTGTGACTAGTAAGAAACTAGGTATATGGCACCATCAGTAAAATTTATTATTTCGCTCCATTTTCGTTTAGAATTTACGCAAATTTTACCTAATGGATGACACTATTTTTATGAAAAGATATGCAGGAAAAATGTTGTTTTTCACAACCAGCAAACATTTGATTTTTCGCGTAAAATTTTAAATATCCATTTTGAAGGTACGAATTTTCAAGTCAACCTAGTATGTCTACGCAAAAGTTTTACTGAGGTTAATACGTTACTAGTTATTATTAGTAAAATTGTTAACTCGACAAAGGTGTTTTGCACACACTCAGATAGGCAAAACTTCTATAAAAGTAAATTTGGTGGAACTTCATTGTTTTGGGTATATTTGTAGGAATTCTTAACTAATGACAGTAATGATAAAGTGGTATGTTTTTCAACAACCTTGCCTGTTCCAGTTTTGTCACAAGGTTTACTTCATTGCGGTTAATGGAATAGAGAAGTACAAGTGATAATTTAAATTACATATACAAGGACATACATAACATTATAAGTAGAGACAATACAGGAGAACTCACTTCTGCAAATTGACTTTTCTTATTAAAGTACAATTACATCTAACAGTGGCATCTGTTTTTTATTGGTAATTAAATTGCACTTATTATCACTCATTTTTATCAAGAAAACTAGAAATGTTGATGACAGATTTGTAAAACTTTTTGTTATTTTTATTTATTTTTTGGGATGGAAGCGAAAAGTAAAAGACCTAACAGTATTTTGACACAAAACTCACCCTCGAAACTCTCCTTGATTCTGACGTCTGTGTGTACAAAAACAGCTTTATTAGCTCCAAACTCCTTTTCGATTTCTTTTAATGCTTGGTTTCCAAAATCAGTGTTTGCATCAGCTAAAGTCACACCCTAAAATAATTTTTCATCAGTTTCTTTTTCTGTTTTTGTTTCAGATTTTACCCTCAGTCCATTTCGCAGTAATGCTTTCGCGTATCGAAGTCCAATTCCCGAAGCACCTCCGGTTATTAAAGCTATCTTACCTTCGATAGAGAAAGTCATGTTATTAATCTAATCCCTACAACAAAAATAACCTTTCTTCCTCAATTCTGATTACAAATTGTGTCGCATATACGAGGTTGCTGTTTAAATAGACATTCAATTCACTTAAAACCTTATCGCTCTGTTCTTGATAACGGGTAAGTAAATTCATAAATAACCGACGACTTTTTTTGTCCACATAATTTTCTGATAACTGGTAAAGAAAAGTTATTTTTTACGTCGAGGCATGGAGGGCATGGTCAAATTCAAACCTGTCATAATCTCATAATCTAATATCTTATGCGGGATACTTGTATATACATAAATCTTATCACTTAGTTTTTCTTCAAGATAATCTGTTATTTTGTAGTAAATATACAAAACAATATTTTTATCAAGGTAAGGATATATTGTTTCGCGTATTATCAAAGAATAGACTCTAAATTTTACATAAAATATTCGCAATACAAATAATAATTAATTCTCTCCATTGTTCGTAAGGATTTTACGATAATTGCCATTAATATAACACCACTGCATATAAACAAGGCTGACGTGTCTTAATTTAACAACTTGCTGATCCAAATTTATAACGTTGATAAGCGTACTAAAATTAAAGAAACCGTGTATGTATGTACATTATGTAACGAATTTGTTGTTTGAAACACAGCTTCTACTTTTGAGTTTGATTTAACTTCACTTCTATATTTTTAAATAACTGTAATATACATAGATAAGAAATAAATTTAATAAGTAGTAGAAGCGTCAACACTGTCACTGTAAAGCTACACAATATTTTGGTTGTTACGTTGTATTTGATACAATTATGAATTTAAAAATTGGGGCAAAATCACTTTTTATCACGAGTCAATGGATGACCTGAAGGTTAGCCTCACGAGTCCGGTCTTTGCTTAGTATATTATACTTAATTTATATGTAGGTACATAGGCATTGACAAACTCAGGTTTAACGTTTATGATAAGGTAAAATGATATAAAAAAGAAGTCAATAAGAAAAGACAACAAAAAGTATAAACCTTATCAAAATATTCTCATTTTATTTTCCAATTCCATTATCTAATTACATAATTTTTCACAACACACATGTTGAAAACATTAAGCACTAATTTCACGAGACTACGACAAGACAAAACGATCCACTCTGAAAGTCATGTGTACGATTTACAAACGTTTACAATGTAATTTAGCATTTATTTTTAAATCGTAAGTCAGCTACTTCGGGAAACCGAATCTCATAAGGTTTGCTGTCGTTTTCTACAACCCAAACAGATCCTGGCAAAGCGTCAGCTAAAATGTCCAAAGTGGCAACAGCGACACTTTCGGGCTTTTGGAGAGTGCATCCTCCGGATTCTTCTTTAAACTCTTTTCGGAAGTTTTCGTTGATGGCGTGATAAGGGGCTTGTTTTAGTAACTTTGTACTGGTCAAACCCGGACAGAGAGCCGTGACTCTCACACCAGTCCTGTCATAATGGTTAACGGCACCAATGGCACGTGAAAACCCAACAATACCAAATTGAGTTAGCGTATGAACGGGATAACCTGTTGACGGAATTAGACCCATGATGGATGCCATGTTGATTATGGTGCCTCCTTGGCCAAATGATGTTTTGGACATATACTGCATGCCGAGCAAAGTTCCAACTATTGTAGTTGCCTAGAAGGTGAAATATTTGTAACCGTATTTTTAAAATGTACATTTTGGTACCAAATTAGAATTTAGCTGACTTTCCCAGTTGCAGTCGTTCATTATGCCAGCATTGTTAATGACGATGTCGACCCTTTCAAAGTGGTTCAAAGTTTCTTTAAAAACTCCTGAAAATCGTTGTTAATTATTATTTTTTCTAACCGCTCATTTCATGTAGAATAAATTTGACAAACTATTAAGAAATGCAAAATATTAAACAAGGCAATTTATTTTGATGAATCTATGTTTTAGAAATACCTCATTATGATTTCATCACTATTTTATTTTTATTTTATATTTTATTTCAAATACAGAACCTGAATCTGATAAAATAATGTCTAAGTGCAACTTGGCACAAAGTGACATTAAGAAATAAAAGTGTTATTTAACAATATGGTAATATCTTTTTTTTGCAGGATTGTACCATAGCTGATGTTCTACAAACAATGTCTTCGGCGCAAATTTTTATCGGCCAGCTTTTGCTTTTGAAGTTTAAATTAAATTGTAACATTGAAATACTGTAGATCCGTTAGTGTCAAATGCGTAATTTTTAAAGGAATAACTCAAAAATGTTCAAAAACCGCCACCACAAATTTGCCATCGGTACGATATGTATTTTTTACTTTAGAAGTTCTTACGATCAAATAACTTAGAATGCGACATGTCCCCTTCAAAGAAAAGGATCTTGTTATCGCCAAATTCACATGCTAAGTTTCTAATACATTCTCGTCCTCTTTCTTTATTGCAGTCTGCCACTGCGATTCCACATATTCCACATTTTAAGAAAACTCTTGCTATGGCCAACCCAATTCCTTCCGCGCCACCTGTTATAATAGCTGCGCTTTGATCCAGGTTAAGAGTTCTTGTCTGAAAGTAAAAAACATGTACGTGAATTGTACATTTATTTCAATAAACCTGTGAAAACTCTTTTGTTAGTGTTTTTTTAACTTTTTTCTTGTCACAATAACTTCGGTATAAAATAAAACACCTGAAAATAAATGTCTTGGTATTTGAATGTATTGTGAAAAATAAAGTAAAGAAAATTACGACTGCAAAAATTTTCTCGGGGACGTCCTAAAAAGGGGAGCCATTACTTCTAGATAATTATTTATAATTTGACATTTGGGAATTTTTGACTTTTGACAAAGAAAAGGGATATCTTGATAAACGTTTTTATTATATTAATTGTGATTCAAGAACCCTATATTCTTTCCACTTGGGAATATTTAAAGAGTACAATTTAGAACCCTCAACTACCCAAACACTACCCGATTTTCCATGTTTTAACAAGTGCATTGCGGACTGTGCACAGACACTAGCTTTTTGTCGTTTGAATTTACGTAATAAAATATGCAGATGGCTTCCCATTCTTTCATTGAGTGCTCTTTTTTCTGCATCTTTGACAAAGTTGGTGTTGGTGATTCCAGGACAAAGCGTTACAACGCGAACTGCTGTATTCTTAAAGTTTATTTCATGTCCAAAACTTGTTGAAAGTCCAATTATGCCGTGGTGACCTGCTGAGAGAGTAGGTGCTGGATATAGAGGCTTCAGCCCACCATGCAGTCCAGAGAAATTGAGAATAACACCACCACTACCACGTTCTTCCTTACTCATTACGTTATAGGCTTCTAACATGCTATGGATGGTCCCAACCTATACTTACTAAGTTTGAGTGAACATATTTTGGGTGTTGGCAATACGTACTAGATTAGTCATCAGTTCCTTTTCCCAATTACATCCGTCGAAGACACCAGCAGCATTAATCACGATGTCTATTTTTCCAAATTCTGCGACGACTTTACAATAACTGTCTGTAACGCATGTATATTTCAGCTCTTTCATAGTTAAAATGAATCGAAAACTTACCATTTACCTGAACTTTCGACTGTACATCACAATTGATGAAAACTGCTTTGTTTTTACCATAAGCTCGATTTAATGCTAGAACAGCCTCACGGCCTCTACAGGTATCGTTACCAACAAGAGCAACATTTTTAACGCTTTCTGCTAGTAGTTCATGCGCAATAGCTAGTCCAGTACTGTCAGAACCACCAGTTATTAGGGCTACCTTACAGTTAAAATCTATCAAGGGTTTCGGTTTGCCAGGACTAAAAGGATTTATTATTGAAAGAAACTGATTTAAATCAAAAGGATGTATCTACTCACCACACAATTTTTACTTGACTTTGTGATTGTCTATGTTGGAATCTTAGTAGTTGTCGAATTCGAAGCACACGAAATGCTTTGAGGGTGTTGAACCAGAATAAATTGATCATAATTTGCGGAGGTATTTTATGGAAAAATGTGTAAATGACATTTTTGTTCCCTCATTTATGACATTAGTGGACGTGACATGCTTACCTGATAAAGTAAATTGTTGTATTTATTTCGGATACAATTTAACACAGATTTGTAAAAAACATTAATGACTATCAAAATTATTCAATTTGATATAAATAATATTACTATAATGTGAATATAACAATTTAAACTAAGTAAAATAAAATCAAAAAATACAATCGAGAAATTAACGTTTTTATATCTTCGGTGCGCATCAGCCTTTTCGATACTTTCCAGACGGCTAGAAACCAAAAACTGCCGAAGTAGTCCGGTAAAAACACAAATGAGTGCTCATGTTTCTGCAAGAGAGTAAAGTTTTTCTAAGTTTTGAGCTAGAATGGTCAATTTAAGGCAAGTGTTAAAATACGTACAACTTATTTTAGAAACAAATAAGATAAATAATGTGCATAATGTAAAAAAATCGGACAAAAATGGGAGAAAAAAATGTTCAGCACCAAGCGACATTCGAACTCGCGGTTCTTGGCCGTCCGATTGGTCCTATTAACTTTCGGCGATGGAGGGTTATTTAAAAAACAATTTAATTAATAACAATTTATTTATATAAAAATTTGAAGACAAAGCCCTGTGTCACTCACTCAGAACATGCTTTTGAAAATACTCGTTATTTTCAGGTCTCGATATGTGCTACAGTTTAATTTAAAGTAGTTGGATGAACTTTTCTGAGATACAGATAAGGTATGTATTTTTCAATAAAAATGTATTTAATATATATGTCTATTTTTCTTTGTTTTTTATAAGGTGTACATAAAATGATTACAGTTATTCTTCTCTTAATTTGATTTTTAGAAAAACTGATGATAGTATAGACTGTATAGATTATTTTTTCCAGAATAACTCGTCTACGTAATGTTACAACCCAATCTTCAAAGTTCAAGGAATAATCAAACTCGTTTCAATAAGCGTTTCACTATATCCACGATAATCTTAAAGTACACTCAAAAATTCCAAGTAATCGGCTGGATTATGTAGAAGTACTATCAATCTATCTAATAATAATTAAGAAACATATGTACTCCACGATCTAAGAAACTCTAAGCTATTGTTTTGGAATTAAGGCAATTCTTATCGATAAACCGTGTTGTTAATTCTGTTATTCTATATTTTGTTCTTAATCTGCGATGAAAAAAGAGGAGTTTATAATAACTTTGAAGCATTTGGCATCATAGCTTCCAAACGAATGAACTAATTTCAACGCAGTTTTTTCTTCAGCCATTTCAAAATCATGAGCTCATAACAAAGTTGGTGTAGCAATCAACTCGATTTGCACGAAGGTGGGGATATGGTGTCAACCGTCGCAGCGAATCTTAACCAATTTCAGACTTTTAAGGGTTCATTTTTTGGTGTCGGTGTTTTTTAAGTTTCTTTATTAGTAATGTAAACCGAGTTTTAAAAAAAAAATTCTAAGAAAATAAAATCTGAGAATTTATTGCGGAGAGTGTAGACAATAGTAGGAAAATGTTAGAAATTCAGTTGATTTATATTCATAAGTTAAACTACATCTACTGACTTTTTTAAACCTGTAGCGAGTTATGTAAAATTTATAACGTTTCGTAGATTGTGATATAATTATGTTTTACTTCCTGAGCGTAAACTAAGGAAGTATAGTAATCGAGTTCTTCGGACGAATGGCCACTTTTATATTTTCCCGACGTTTCATAACCCCTAGTGTACGAAAAAAGTAGTCTTTCGTTTCCGCCTGTCTGTATGTCTGTCTGTCTGTCCACTGTCTGTATTCATTTTTATTAGACACGTAATCTTCGAAACTGCTGGACCGCTTGTTGTCAAATGTTGTATGTATGTTAGAAATATCATGTAAATGGTTAAATGCTAACCACAATTTTGCTAATCATCCCCACCAACTATTTGATGACGTCATAACAAAGAATTCAATGTTTATTTGTTTTAACTGTTATACAACAAAATAGTCCTATAAGTGTGGTGTACGAAACCGCTTTCAATTTTTCCTTAATCGTCCAAATTTTTAAAAACATAATGCACGGTATAATAACATTTTACCATTAGCATAAGGCATCCCGGTCGTGGTCTAGTGGTTACGAGTCAGGAACGAATCGTTATCACGAAAGAGTAAGTTTAATAAAACTTGTAAATCTAAATGTTCATCATAACAGGAAATTATAAACGGAATATTATTACTCCTAATTATTATGATTCATTTCTATCATGTTCCTAGCGTCGTGACATACGAATATTACGTTCCCGAAAAAAAAACTACGATAAGTTTCTCGGATTTGGCATTCAGGAGAAAATCCTGTACATTTCAAAAATTCTGCTGTTGTTAAGTGCAACTGACGTCTTCTAACACATTTTTTTGCAATTCATGGTGAAAATATTTATTATGTCATCTTTGTAACTAAAATTAGTAAATACAAACGCAAGTAATTATAATAAACAACGTAAGCCAGAAAAATACACACGTATCTTGCAAAACGTAAGATAAGACAATCAGCGCAAAAGATTAGAAGACGGTGATTTATACATTTGTTTACGTGAAAAAGATAATTTTATATATAAACCATTTTTGCACTTATTTCTAATCAAAATTTAACTTAACTTAAAAAATAAAAACAATAACAAATCGATTTCGACAATATTTTACTACGTAGAGGCAAATGTTGTTAGTGATATGATGATCTTAACATTTTATGATACAATGTTTTTCATCATTATGACTTATGAATCAACATCTCAGAGAATTAGGAAGTCTGAAAAGATATTTTTGACATACACACATCAAAAATTTTGCGGTATTTTAATCACTCCGCATCTGTTAGGGATGATCACATCAAAGTAATCCTACACCCTTCTATGATAATGCACAAGAGCACCATCCTGTGGGAGCCATAATTTCGTCGTATTTCCAAATTAACATTTTCGAGTTGTAATAATGTCTCTAAAAAATAGGCACAAATAATTTGGTTCTGAATGATCCTACACCAAATATTTTGGACTGTTTGAAATGTCCTTCTCTAATGCAGGATGAGTTGTTTTGGCTGTAATTATTTGGAAATTTTGCATTGTCCGAAAAAAGAACTAAATCGTAAAAAAGTTGCCTTGAGAATGATCTGTGGGTTTCAATTCCTGGACTAATATATTTGATAGGCACGGAATTTGTTTCGTTTCAGTATTCACTACACAGATGTTTGACTAACACCTGCTGCTCTGGCAACTGTACAATAAAGACAATTTATTTTAGGCAATAATGATTACCCTTGTTTATTTTAAAAAAAGTTACAATCATTTATAAACGTTATGGTAATAAGCAATACAATTAATAATTTTGAGTTCCACTCTTATATGATTTTTTTAATAAAAACAATAAGATAAAAATTTCAGCCGTTAGCAATTAACAATGAATACAATAATAATTTACGTAATAAAAATTAAATTTTACCAACTAACATCTATCATGATATATCATGCTTTATCGTACAAGCGTTATGAGGACTAAGGTATCGGCTATTTACTATGTTATCAATTATCTTAAGTGAAACATGAAACTGCGCTGCGAAGCTATCCAAATAAAACTTTAATTTTGTGCTATGACGTGATGATTAAAGACCAAATTAGGAAAATAGAGTAATCTCTTTTGGAGGTTTTGTATTTTCCACCAACCAGCTGGATCCACTCGGAGCCTTTTGAATAAGTTCTATGAGCGCCTTCGTCAAATTTTCAGGCCTATAAAAAAACGATTTTAATAAAACCACCTTTTGAAAGACCAGTTACTTACTTAACTGCTGTCGTACTACCAATATCTTTCTGCCAAGCTTGTTCGTATTCCCCGCTGAGAATCCTTTTACGAGGATCGCCAATAAGGGCAGCCTCGGTGGGCGAAGGACATAAAGCCACCACGCGAACCCCCGTTAAGTTGACGTGGTATTGATCCCCATATGATCGGGTTAAAGCTGCAACCGCGTGCTTAGTGGCCGTGAAAACTGGCAGGGACACTAAGGGATGAGTACTGCAGCTAGAGCCAGTATTAACCACAATTCCCCCCGGTCCGCCTCTGTCTTTACCCAGAAAACGAAACGCTAATAATAACCCTCTGATGACACCGTTCTGAAATATAAAAACAAAATGAACATTTTTGGGTATCTAAGGCGCTATGGTGCTAAAAGTAAATTTCTTTGTTAACGATAATGTAACAACACAGGACTGAAATAATTAAAATAAAACTTTCTTAAGTTAAATAAGTTACTGCTTTGTTCCTCTTTTGAACTACTGAATTATTTCAAAGTCATAATAGGGTATGAACATGTCTGTGGTTCTGACAGCTGTATAGCTATGTTTAAATTAAGTTAAACTTTGTGTAGTGTAATTAACGTTTTGGAAATTGACTTCGTTATGTTTGTTTTGCAATCTCTTATGGTATCCTAACCAGCACATTAAGCCATTTGTGCTCTTTTGTGTTGTTTAGTCTAGGCCTATTCTATTACTGCTAAATTATTACATTACAAATTACATATATACATTTTACCTACATTTGTTAAGAAAGCTTTAAACCACTTTTAAATGATGTACTATCACATCTGGTATAAATGCTTCATTTTTGTATTTTGTACACTAAACGCTTTTTATTATCACATATTTGTATCATTCAGAATATGATAATTAATTGTATACAAACACTCTGATTTATTACTTCATATAAATTTTTAACATCTGCGATTGAGATACAGTGTTAAATGAAGTGAAAAACCAACAATATTTTTTTTAGTACGAAACTAAATAAACCATACTTATATATGCAGTGAGGATAAAGTGTCATATAAAATTCATAATTCCGTTAACTAAGGATTTTTTGAACAATCGTCGGACAGATAAATTTTAGTTTTTAAAATGGCACTTTTTGACGTCAAAATACATACAGTGACGCCATCAATAATGTTTTAGACAATATCAAGAACCGAATTTGAATAAAAATTGGTTGCTGGACATTCATAGTATGAGGGAAGAAATTTTTCTAAGAATAATTGTTTATTTATTTACCCATATTATAATTTGTGTGTATGTGTCAATTTTTTTCAGCAAACAGCACTATAGTCTTTGTTCAAATGGGTCCTGTTTTCGAATAATGATGTGGTGTGAACTTTATTTTCTATTTTGGTTGGCAAAAAAAACATTTTCTCTCTTCTTCAAAATTTGACTAAGGTAAATAGAACGATTTCTACCTTTTCAAATTAAATTAAGTGATTTTCTTCGAACCTATCATTATTGTTTCACCACTGTGTATCAAAGAACACATTCCGCTATATGTTTACACAACACTGCTCAGTTTTCTGTTCTATTTAACTTCAGTTTAGCGGAGTATTTCAATTTTCTCTGTATGAATTAAATCTTGGAGAAATAATAGACAGAATCTGCATAGACCGTATATTTTAAATCAAAGTTACTGTAGAGACAACAACAAATATTTTGTCACTGTACTCATAGTAATGCATAGAAATCATAAATACTCGTACATGTCCAAGACGAAATAATTAGTTTTCATGATTAAAAGCTTGATGTAAAGTAATTTTAAAATGAATAAAAACGCTAGTATGTCGAAGCAAATAGAGTGTGTCGTATGCAATTGACTAAAAGCTTCTGTTCTGAAAAATTGAATTTAAAACTTAGCTATTACTCATGTTGTCGTTTTGTATATTTGTCGTCCTAGAACCACCTGCTACTTTCATAATAACTAGAAGGAATACAAATATTTTTGAAGTGTTCTAAAATATAGCAAAAAAACGCATTAAAAGCAGAGGCGGCTGGTGGTATAGGGCACAAGGGCCTAATTTTATTTCGTTATCTATTACACTTTTACGAGTTATTAATTTATTTGTCAATAAAAGTCAAGAACAGGCATAAAATATAAAATTATGTTGAGCATATTGATATAAATTGAACATTGTATGGATTTTGTGCTCGCTCTCGCCAGCTGCCCTACAAAACCTTTTGAAGCGTTGCAGTGTGAATGCACACAACAGCATGCAGCGCAAAGTTTGAACTGTGAATAGTTAATTTTAGTAGCACACTGGGTGCAATATTTTTTTTGACGTTTTATTACCGTATTTTCACTGACTCGGTCTGTGAGTAGGTGTTACGGTTAATGTGACAAAAAAATAAAAAAATAAAAAAATACAAAATTAAAACACGAATTGCGATTGTGAATTACACAATTGGAGCGTCCTCAACCAAAACTATATATATAACTAAGTTGCACAAATGGGCAAAAAGAACGATTCATATTGAAGTGGTTTTCACCAACATAATGAACAGGTTGACAAAACAGTTAAATATGAGTCATACTGGTAGTAATATATAAATTTTCTGATACATTTTTTAATTATCGGGAGGCCTTAACTGATATCCATGAGCTACAACTGTTCAACATGCAACTTTTTAAATGTTTCTTATACGAATTGTATCATATTAACCCGGTCTTGTTTTATATAAAATACTATATTTACCAGTCAGTAAGTTATTATACCTAAACATATACCTATGTAGATATTTAATAACAATCACATCTCGTTTGAAAAAATGACGTATAAAATTCCACTAATAGACATAAACCTTGAACGATTTTATATTTTCTAGAACAAGATCTTAACATAGGTACATATATGCATAGTCACTACCACTACAAACAGATGACTTGACATTTGTATTTTGTTTGTCCTCAGATCGATGACGATAAAACAAAAAATAAAACTCGTTTAGATTCGAATCTAAAAAGTAAAATTTTCTAATGTTTGTTACTGAGTATTTTTTAAATATTTTTCCATATTCAGCACATTTTTATTTTTATCTTTCGTTCAAAACATACTTATTAGTTTACCCACTCGTAAAATTTTCAGTCCAAGAAGAATCGGCTCTAGGCTTGAATCGACACTGGATTCAGATTTTCATGTTTGCAAAACAGAGCCCATCTTCACAACTACAATTTAATGATTCGATGTTTGCCTTTTCAAAATTTGTGTTAAAAGAACAAGAGAATGTTGATTTTTTTTGGGATCTGATCGACGACTAACTGCCAAACTAGTGCTATATCTTAAAATTTGACTTAGGAATATATCGGACTTCATTGAACAGAGGGAATAACCATTTAGACGGGGCAAGATAAAAAAAAACCTGCCTCAGCACTTCAGACAGTTCATTGATAGTTACGTTACCAAAATCACTAAACTCTTTATACATGATTATATCGTCTAATCGTAAACATATCGTAAAAAGTTATTTAGAATTTCCCTAGACCTTGAAATGCAGTCCAAAAAATCCTGTTTTTTCGAAAAATTATAAAACTTAATTTTGGGAAATTTTAGTTTTTTATGATAAGTGATACTGATAACGTATATAAGTTAAAAAATATATAGGTAATACCAGTTACAAAGTAAGAAAAACATTGGATTAAGGTTACTTTAACAGAATTTCCCTCGCTCCTGCAGTACGGTTGAACAAATACAGTTTTTTCGAAAAATTATAAAATTGTATTTTGCGAATTTTATTTCTTATTATAACCCCTATAACTTAAAATAAATACACGTGTGGACTGCTAAAGCACAAATAAAAAAGTATGCTAGGCAGTGGTGTAAATATTACCACCGGAGCCCATGCGTCGGGGTAATATTTTCAATATGTGCTAAACTTCAACTGTTTATATTTATATCATCAAAGAATTCCACGATTAAGCACGTGTAAAATTCGCGTCGGCAGAAAATAAACCCTAAATTTAATTTCCCACTGGTAAATGTCCAATCAGTATTTCAGCAAGGACTCGATGTCAGTTCAGTACTGAATTCTCAAATTTTCGAAAAAATTGTGGTCCTGTTTTTGATTTGATAAACAAAAAAAAGTGGAAACACTGGTGGGAATCGAACCCGGGACGCTTCACATGAAAAGGAGAACTTCTTCCTACAACTTCATTAAGCAGATTTGTTTAATTACGTATTATCTTACTAAAGAATCAGAATGTGTAAACAATAATAAACAAAATCGAGGTGGATTCATAAACTACAAGTATAGGAATATATTATTTTATAAAATTGTTGGTGGGATTATCAGACAAATTTTGGTTAGTGTTTTACCATCCACAGGATTCCTTACAATAACGGTTTCGCTGTAAGTGTGTACAACTGGTGGCATGCGACATCTGTTCGCAGACGAAAAATTATAGCTCATAATCATAAGGAATTTTTATAAGGAAGATAAATTGAAATACTAATTATTAAAAAAATTCTTTAAATTTACAATGTGTTCAAATTGTCACAAAATTAATGGACCACACTGTACATACTTTGATAATAATAATTGAATGCGGAAGTTAAAATTATATTCAGAAATATTAACGTTAAAAATAATCTCGCAATGATGAATTTAATAAAAAAAGTGACAATAACTATGCACATTTATTAATACATATCAAAGAACTTTTGAGTGTAGTGAAAATCTTTGGGGTTTTAGCAATTATATGTAATATAAATTTATATTAAAATAAGAATGTTTGTTTCTAAATTTCATAACCTCGTATCCTTTTCTTTTAATTTAATTTTGATAGCAAGAAATCCACATTTAGTTACCAAGTGATAATTTGTCATAAAAAATTGGTCTAAAGAGTTTAGACAGTACTTCCCTCGCTGTCGGAAACTTGACGACTGCATGCCTATTGTGTTTTTTTCTCATTACATTTTTGTAGTGGGAATTTAAAAAAAAATTGCGATGACGTCATCAACATTTTTGCAAGGACACGTATATCAGTTGGGATAGATGTAGTGTAATACTAAGAATAAAATTATTATATTCTCAAATTTTCGGGAAAATGAATTGGGTCGTTTGAATATTGATTTGTAATAATCAATAAAATAACGAAACAATTTACTCACGTATACCTACGTATCAGAGGCAACTGAAAATCGTGTATGTATAAACATTGTTAATTTAAGATGACAGGCGTAACAGCATACGTGAGAGCCAAACACAGAAACTGTAAACAAAACGACCGTCGGTTTTATTGCTTCGACTTCCGCTTATTATATAAAACATTGGGTTTTATTTTAATTCTTGACGGTGAAATTCAC